AATCTAACAATCTTGGCCTGGTAAAACACTAACCCAAACGAAAACGTAAAGATATGAAGCCTAGTGTTGAATTAATTTATTTTTTAAAAACCATGTGGCTCACAGAAATTGAACACGTGGATAGGCTAAATGGAAGAGAAACTTATCTGGGCTGGAATCTATATAAGCTCGTCAAAAAATAAGAAAGCTAGGGGATTCGAACCCCTATACTCATGGAGGTAAGTTTTACTTAGGAGACTTATACCATTGGGCCAAATCGTCTTTAGTTATTAATAGCCATCGTATATAGGTTTTATAGTATAAAAAAAACTAACGAAACCCATTAAAAAAGTGATGACGTGTCGACTCAAGAGAGAGCAAAATGTCCTATTATTATATAGATTCTTTAATTCAGTTATTTTTGCATGTATTAGGATTATAATTTCATATACTTTTTTTTAAAATATTCTTATATTCTGTCGAATTATATCATATTTTACATTAGTGGAACTTGAAATCGGCAAAGTTTATTAGTGTTTATTAATTTCTAGAGCTTCTATTGTACATCTTTTTAAATGATTGAGATTTCTAAAAATGTAAACCAAAACCAGAAATACTGTAATAAGCTTATTTTAAAAAGTTACAATTTACTTTTTTCTTAAAGAATGTAATATTTTTATTCAATCAAAAAAATAGTTACCTCAAGTGCTTCTAGTGTTGATTTGTATTCATACTCATAAAAGAAAAGAAGAAATTAATTCCCTTTAAACTTCAAGTCTGAGAATAGTCTTGTATTCTTGTGCCAAACCATACACACAGACCTTCAAGATCATGCTTCCCCTTTCCCTTGACTGATAATAATTTCAGTCGAATTGTTCTATCAACACATTTGATTAGAACCTTCTCATCTTGTGGTTGCTCACCATGTCGACGGCCATTACCCCATATGTTATGAACCAGAGCTTGGAAAGTATAGCGAATGAGGAATGTCTCTGTAGATATTTATCTGGGACTATCCATCATCTCTAGAATCTCATTCCAGTCAAGAGTGAAAGCTTCTTTCAGGTACCTCCGACTAGTATATTCCATATTTTTGTAGAATATCGATGTCTAAAGAACGGATGCTGGCAAGTTTCCTGATATTCCTGACACAACGTACACAATGTATTCATTGTAACATTCCATAACTGCATCATGTCACATAGGGCTGGGCATTTTACCCGATACAAAACCCCAAACCAACCCAATATATCTGATCCAAAATTCGAATCGAAGTAGCAAAATAACCGAATGGGTTTTGTATTGAATAAGTTTGGATATCCGAACCCACTCGGGTATATCTAAAACCCAAATGGTTACCCGAAATACCTGAATATATAATATCTAACTCTAAATATATATATATATATATATATATATATATATATATATATATCTCATCCCCCATTTAGTGTAGCCGGCAAAGAGTTATGCTCTTATGTTGGTTCTTCTTGATGTTGATATCGTTTTAATTGAATTTTGTTATTTTGATTTTTAAATGTGTTAGATTCTCTTAAGTTATGTCTCGATGCTAATATCATTTGATATCTTTGTTAAACACTCTGATTCTGAAACATCTGTTTTTTCTTTGTCTTTGGAATTGTTTTTGTTTTGTGTCACAAAGAGAATCTATCCTTTTACGTGGAAGAAAGCAAACAAAACCAACAAGATTTTGTTCTCTAACCAAAGGACCAAGAAGTTGCAGTTTGCATCTTACAATACAAGAAGGTTTCGTGGGAAGCTGAGAAGCATTTTATCAAGTTTTGTCTAACAAAGTAAAATATCCGAACCCAATCCAAAATGATCGAAGATATGTAAAAATACTTGAACAAATTTTATACTTCTATATCGAAATACTCAAAAATTTGAAATGCTCGATCCAAATCTGACCAGATATCCAAACGCCCATTCCTACTTTCACACGATTGCAATCTGTATGGCCACCCATACTAGAAACGAGTACTGTTATTGAACAATATTTCTTCAAAAAGTCTTTTTTTCTGTCACAAGCTTTAAAAACAATTATTTTTTTGACGCAATTTTCAGAAACAAAATTATTATTTTTTGGAAAGAAGTATTAACTAAGACGTAATATTAGACACTATAGAAAGCACAAATAATACTAAGATAACATCTACTGCGAAGCCAAAACCAAAATAAATGTGATTTCAAGTGAGTTGTTTCTTCTACTACAACGACTAGTCGACTACACACTGCTCCCATTTTGGAGTTAATTCATATAGAATGAGATGAGCACTTCCCAGATTCAATTTCGGATCTCATTCAGAAGTCCTCATCAATCTTGAATTCGTAGTTCTTGTTACCATCTTGGAGGCTTGACATAACCGATGCCTTCTGATACTCTCCCACTCTCTTCTCAAAGAAGTTTGTCTTCCCTCTGTCATATAAAGTACCAATGAAGAGAACTTGCTCAGGTTACTGTGTCTTAAGTTGAGAGAAACTACAAGAAAGCTTACTGGAGAGATATGAACTCCATCCACTCAAATGGGTTTTCTGCTTTGTATCTCCTTTCACATCCCAATGTAACCTACAGAAAAAGAAACAAGACAAACCCATGAGTTTGAAACAAAAAGCCAGTTCATGTTCCAGAATGATGTAAACAAAAAGGAGAACATTAATCCTTTTTACCAGAAGACGGTCTGCGACAAACTGTATGTACCGACTCATGAGGTCTGAGTTCATTCCGATCAGATCACAGGAGAGGGCCTTGCAAACAAACTCTGTCTCAATTTCCACTGCCTCATGAACAATCTGATAAACTTTCTCAACAGGAAGCTTCTTCTGCAACAAACTGCATTAAATATAAGTGAACTGATCATACAGATGCTCATTAAAACTCAAATGCGGATTTCTGTTATCAGGGAGTCCATTCTTACCTGTACAAGAGACAAGCAAAGTCACAGTGGAGACCCTCGTCTCTTGATATAAGCTCGTTTGAGAAAGTCAAACCCGGCATAAGACCTCTCTTCTTCAGCCAGAAGATGGCACAGAAGCTATCCCAAGAAAATCATGTAATGCTTAATAGCTTATACATAAAGTCTACATATACGCAGCAACAGGAAAAAGATACCTTCCGGAGAAGAAGATTCCTTCGACGCATGCAAAAGCAACAAGCCTCACAGCAAAAGACATAGGACTGCAGACAATGGTATATACTATTAGACAAATGTTTCTATGACCAGATAAACACCTCCTTATAAAATGAACTCAACAACAAGTTGGATACCTTTGAATCCAATCTAAACACCATTTTGCCTTGTTGGAAATACAGGGAATGGTCTCGATAGCATTGAACAATCTATCCTTCTCCTGCGAATCCTTTATAAACGTCTCTAGAAGTTGGCTGTACATCTCTGAAAGTTTGCCAACAGAAAAAAATTGCTCTGATCAGTTTCACTTTGTATACTGAAATCCAAAATACCACAATGATACCAGTTATAGAGCAACTTGCAAGATCAAAACCTAGGTCCTAGTCCTAGTTAAGTCTACCCCGTTAAATCTAGAAAAAAAAGAACTTAAGTACTCCATCATAGACACTGGCTACAACAAGTGTTATGGTTCTGGTCTCCAGATGTTTATGTTCATTAACATGACACTGACTTAGGCCATCCTGACCAATGGAACGTAACAGTGTAAGCATCCCTATGAAAACATACAACCTACCTAGCTATGCTTGTTTTCATCTTTGACTACAGAGTTTGCAGTTTGAATCAGAACTGAAAACAAGTAAGAATATGCAAGTTTATTATACACAGAAGCTGATCAAGACTTTCACAAACTTCTATACATACAAAGCCGTACGTACCGGAATGAATGTTCTCCATGGCAATTTGAAACCCATAGAAAGCACGAGCCTGAGGTTCCAGAGAAGGGATTGTATTAGATCAAACAGTAAGTGCAGGGTGGGTTTGAAGATATGTTATGCCATAGCAAAAAGAGTCACTCACCTCAGGGACTTGGACATCATTCAAGAATCTAGCAGCCAAATTCTCCAAAACAATCCCATCTGATGCGGCGAAAAACGCCAGCACATGGCTGATGAAATGTTTCTCTGAATCCGACAACTTCTCCCAGTGCTGCACATCCGTCGAAAGATCAACTTCTTCAGCTGCAACAAACCAGAGTTAATGACGCTGATACTACGAGAAACAGAGCAATCACACACACATGACATGATTAGAATCAACGTCCTTTCTTTTTGCAACATAATTAAAAACACAAAGCATCTTCTTTTCCAATCCTCAAATTCAGAAAATAACTATTACAAAGTTAAAACCAAAAAAAAAAAAAAAGAATGACGTTACGGTTCTATAAACAAAGTTGCGAACTTTCTTATTCAAATCCGAGAGCATAACAAAAAGAAAAACAAAGTAAGTAAAATAGAAACAGAGAGAGGACTAACCAGTCCAGAAGCTGGCCTCAGCCTTCTTATACATCTCCCAAATCGACTTGTACCTGATGGGGAACATAGTGAACCTCTGGTTCTGCGCCATCAAAAGTGGTTCCTCCGATTCTTCTTCTTCTCCCTCCAAGTCTCTTCTTTGACCGTCCTTGAGCGAACCCATTATCACAAATTGGTCTCTCAGTTTCCTATTCTCTCGGTTCTGTTTGTATTTGAGGTTAAGAAACAGAGGATAAGAAATAAAAAATAAGAAGGCAAAAACCCTATAACAAAAACCCTTGTAAGGAAAACGACAAAGAAGAAACCTGTCTTGAGTGTTTTGTCTCTTTGGATGGTGGAAAGCGATCCCTCGTGATCTCCCGTCGTGCTTCTCAACGCAAACAAATATTTAACCACAACAACAAGGAAAGTAAAAAACAAAAATCACTATTTTAACTGGTTTTATAAGTTAACGCACGTGTGGGATTGTTAGGTGGAAGATTAGATAGGCACGTGTGGGTTAATGTGTTGACTTTCGTTACCTCTTTATTTTTCGGTCGGAGAAGGAAGAAAGAAAGAAATGTCGGATCATCAGTGTACCGAGAACCCGCCTAAGCTGGATCCAAACAGCGGGTCGGGTCATGTGGAAAAAGTAGGAGGCCTAGACAGTTACGTCTCTGGTTCCGCTCAATCAGAGCTCGCCGTTGTTCTTGTCTCTCATGTTTTCGGTGAGCCTCCTCTTTTTTTCTTCAGTTTCTAACTATTGAGTCTTAAATTTAAGAAATCTAAAAGAACATCCTTTTCTTTGCTTGGTCCGCAGGATATGAAGCTCCACAACTGAGGTAGTACTGTAGATTCTTACTAGAGTTTTTTTTTTTATTTCTTATCAAGTGTATGACTTTTGATGATTGGTAGATTTGTATCACAATTTTTTTTTTTGTTGGTAATAGAATCCAAGGATCTACATTAGTTTCTTGATCGTAAACTGTATAGGAAGATTTTGACATATGTTTGCATTAACGATTCAGCTTTTTTTTGTTTTTACTCTTTATCACTTGAAATAAATTTCATTCCTGTTGTAACTTGCTTTGGTTTTTGCTTTTTCTGTGACACAGGAAACTTGCTGACAAAGTTGCAGACGCTGGATTCTACGCAGTGGTTCCTGACTTCTTCCATGGAGATCCCTATAATCCCGCGAATGAGGATCGTCCACTTCCTGTCTGGATTAAAGATCACGGACATGTTAGTGGTTTACTTTTGGATACCTTCTCAGGATCATTTTAAATGCATTGTTGTTTGTTTGTTTTCGTTGATGATTGCAAAGCAGAATCTAGTCAGTGCTTTATCCTTGTTCTGCTTTTATCCTCATTTGAAATGAGTTCATGGGATGAACTTGTAGGATAAGGGTTTTGAGGACTCAAAGCCAGTAGTTGAAGCCTTGAAGAACAAAGGCATAGCTACAGTTGGAGCAGTAGGGTTCTGTTGGGGTGGTGAGTTTGACTTTTCTTCTTCCCATCTTAAGACAATATGTTCTCCATATTCTGTTATGTATTCTGTTAACAAAACTAATTTGTCTTTCCTCTTGGGTGTTGATCCCAGCAAAAGTTGCAGTGGAACTGGCGAAGGAAGAGCTTGTTAAAGCTGTTGTTTTGTTACATCCTTCTCGTGTTACAGTGGATGATGTTAAGGGTAATTCGATTTTTGATTATGATTTACTTGTTTCTCTTCTCTCTTTGGCTTATGGGTTATATGATAGACCGTGCTTGAACCAGGGGTCAAGGTTCCAATTTCTGTGTTAGGAGCTGAATACGATCAAGTGACTCCTCCAGAACTCGTGAAGCAATTCCAAGATGTTTTAGCTACAAAACCTGAGGTTACAATTTCTAGTAGCTGGTCTGTTTTAGGAAGAAAGTATATCTGTAGCTTCTGCATATCTTCAAGTTGATAGACTTCTTGAATCTCCTGCGATCTTACTAACCAGCAAGCGAATTGTCATGTTTCAGGTAAAAAGTTTTGTGAAGATATTCCCAAGAGTCAAACATGGTTGGACTGTTAGGTACGATGAGAACGATCCATCAGAAGTTGAAGCCGCCGAGGAAGCTCACACGGACATGCTCGTTTGGCTCATCAGCCATGTCAAGTGATAACTTTGGCACGGTCTAAGCTTTGGTTTACACACAATAAAGTAATGAGACTTGAGAAGCTGTAAGAAAAATGTAGTTTGCATAATCTTCCTCGAGTGTATTCTTAGAAACAAATACTTTCAAAGAAATAATTGAATTATCAAATGTTTGTAACATGAGTAAGAGGATAAACAACACTTGAACAAATACATGGAACCAACAAAATGCAGAGCCAAGAACACAACAATTTCCATAAAATCATCACCAATGCCAAACAATTTTAACCTATCATGACAAATCATTGAAAACAAACAAACTAGTTTTGGACATATATGCATATCACTGACTTCACCAAATTCCAGAATCAAATATAATAACTGGAATCATTTGTTGCTTTTGAAGAAGTTGAGATCCCACTTACGTATTAACCCGTCAAAGACTTTGCCTGGTGCGCTACTAGTACGTTCAACTGTGACTGTGGCCTTTGTATCTGCTGACATGTCACCGTTCTCTCTTGCCTTCTGGTTCGTGCAGCCAGGCGCAGAAGCATTTCCGGGTGCTGCTATACAACCCGAGGTCCCATTTGGAGCTTTGGACTCGGAAGATGATGGTGCTACATCTTTGCTAAATGTTGCTGGATTGGAAGTAGAAGCATTAGTCTCTGATTGGTTTGCTTGAGTTGAAGTTGATTCTTCTCTAGAAAGAAGGGTTTGTTCTGCAGTTTGAAAAGAATTGCTGCAGTGAACTCTCTTCTCAGGAGATTCCTTTTTCTCAAGACTTTGCACTTCCAGGTCCTTAAGTGACTCCATCACCGCTTTCATAAGCATCTGATACAAGTAATAAGATTTTGAGAATGTCAACAGAACATGAGGCAATATAAGAAGGTTTAGTAAAAATAGAATATCCACTTTTTCAGTCTTACCCTTTCTTCTTCCTCTGCATTAGATGGGATGTTCTCTAAGTGATACTCCAGATATTGGTCATCATCTAAAGCCATCGCAAGCTGAGGAGGGTATTGATCACCATTTGACAAATCGAAGCTTATCATATCAGGAGATGATGAAGTCTCACGGCGATCGTGATTCTCTTTTTCCTGTAAGAGAAATCATAATGCTACATCAGGGATCTCCACTTCATCTCTTTGATTTCTTTTCCTTATTTACAAGAATATAAGATAGTCACCATGACACATCTAATGACCATTATATGATCAAACGACCATATACTTAAATATGGTGACTAGTAACTATAAACACAAGAAAAATCAAATAATGAAAGGTGGAGAAACTGATCTCATACCTTAGTTTCTGATGGAGAACCGTTAGATGTGACACTCGAAGGAACCTGAACGAAGTAATACAAACCCATCAAAAATACGATGGAGAAAGCTTGAATTTACAATATACAACTTTCTTTTTTACTTTGGACGCAATTTCATGACTTCACTCTATTTCATAAGCTTTACGCTCTTTCTGTCAGGTTAAAAAAAGCAGATAAATAGGGTGTTCTAAGCCTTTGAACTGAATGGAAACTGGCATGTTGGAACGCTAGGGGAGAATTGATTGCGTATTATCAAAACTACGGAAAAAAACATCCAAAGCCATGCATCAAGCTGTCTTGAGTAAACTGTATTAAACATTAGCAATTAAAAAGATCAAGATTAGTCAAAATTACTGACTTCTGTGCGACTCATGGGTCTTTTCACGCGGACTTCATTAATTGGGTCAGAGATGCTACTCGTGGCCAAACCTGAATAGTGACAAAAAGATGTCAACTCTGAGCTCAAACACAGAAACTTGTGAGGAAGACTACTGTGACTCACTCTTCTGTACTGATGATTGTGGAATATTTGTGTCATGCATAGTGCTCCAACTGCCCTGAACATAAAATAGACAACACTATTGACGTTTTTCTTGATGCAGAAACAAGAGAAAAAGAAAGTAAACAGTCATACGTGCAAGATGACATTACCTTTGCTAAGTACTCATCTAACGGGTCATAAAATGTAGGTCCTACCACCTCTGGAGGTCGAAGGACGTTATGGAAAAATATATTTATCGAATCAAAGTAGAACTGAGGCCGTGGAGAGTTGTGATCTCCCTCAAATTTGATGATATTTTTGTCACCCTGCCAAAATCATAAGCAAGATGTTTATATCAAAACATACAGAGGCTAGCAGAGAGAGAACATATAAGATGGACAATGGGCAAGATGAAGGAGGAAGGCTATCACGAATTGGAAACTTACTATGTAGGCTTCATATATAAGATCTGAATGATGAGGGCGAATAAAGTCATCATCTAAGGCATGTCCAAACAAAACTGGAACAAAACTAGACTTTGCCACCTGCAGCATGAAAGATAAACAATGTAAGTTGATACATTTTCCAGTTAAAAACTTTCCCAACAAGCAGGATGATCATGACAAACAATAAGGATGTTGTATATATCAGATAATATACGCAATCAAGTAGATAAACGGGACAGTTAAGTAGAGAACACAACCTTAATGGTGTTCAGATCCGGTATATCAAACTTTGCTTTTTTCTGAATAGCTCTCCGCATAAACTGTATTGCAAATTTCACCTGAAGATACAGAGGAAAGAGATTAGAATCATTAAAATAAAAGAAACGTGGAAAAACTTGTAGTAAAGAGAACAAATAGCACCAGAAAGATTATAAAATTACTTACGGTAAACTTCGGTAGACGGAACTTATACGTATCTACAAGTTCCATCATCAGATCAACCAAATCGGAGAAGGGACTATCTAAAATCATTCCTGCAATGGAAGGATCTTCAGCTCCATACATCAAGCTGCAACAGAAAGAATGATTCAAGACAATAATATCACAGTTTAGCAGGCAGGACAAATGGTGGCAATAACAAATTGTTTATTCTAAAACTTCGTTTAATCTCTTATGGTGGTTCGCGTGTGACATATGCTAGGTAATGGCTAATAAACGGAAAATACCACAGCACCAATTCAACCATCGAAAACTACTGATAGTTTCCCGCATGAATGAATTACCGGTACGATTTTATTAGCTGAACTTCATACAACAAGGAAAAATGAATATGCTCTTCTTAAATTGACAAATAAGAGAGGGGAGCGAACCTGGTAACAGCACCCATTGAACGACCCCATAACCCTATCAGGGATATATTTCCATCCTGCCGCAAAAACTCAACCACAGCCTTTAGATCATCCTTCTGCAAACACTCGCAAGAGGTTTGAAAACAGTTCAGAAGAAGGATCACTAATCTCACAGAATAAACAGTGAATATGTCTTCATACAGATAAAGATAGGTTGCCTCTATAGGAGATATCAAATCTTAAATGTATTTTGAAGAGTACAAGAGATAAACAAAAATGATTAAAGGAGCACATACTTCGTTCCAGCCTAAGGTGACATGTTCCCCGCCAGAGAGACCAGATCCGGAGAAGTCTAGGGTGAAAACAGTGATGTTTGAAGGCAGCAACATAATTGCGGCTTCACTACCATCCGCTCTACATCCACTGAATGAAAAAGTTGCAGGGAATCAGTAATTAATGCTAAAAATTACGATGGTCAACAGGAAACAAAAGGGTAAAAAAAATGAAATACAAAGTTTAACAAATATTTATTTCAAATTCCTGATAGTTAATAGCACAAAAGATGTTTAAAAAATCGTTCATGTACCTGTTTCCATGGCAATATATTACGCAGGGCAAAGGCTTTCCTTCAGGGAGTTCAACTGGCATGTAATGACTACACTGGAGAACATCTCCCCTACTGTTTTTAATCTGCCAAAATCGCATCCAAATAACACTCAAGCAAAATAGCTAATGAGTAACAAGTTTTAACTAACTAAATAGAAATCTGATGAATTTTCTTTTAATAACTACATACATTCACATGCTATCTTTCAATTCAATAAATAGACTTTTGACTTTGTAAGAACAAACCCGTGTGGGGTTGCAAATCCCATTTATTACTAGAGACAAATAAAGTTCCCAAGTACTTTTACATAAGCTTAAGACACAAAATTAGAAAGCTTTATATATTTACCTCTAAATCCTTTCGTTGATACCATCTGCCTTTCATCATAAACTCCTTTTCTAGGAGATCATGTTGCGGGTCATACTCAGCTCTGCATTCACACGAGTCAAATGATAACCTCTTAGGATACATTTCTAGTTGCAACCACAACCTAGTAAGGTCTCACAAGTCTTAAACAGTAAATATATATATCAAATATAAACTAGGACACAGTAAATTTTCAGAATGAGCCACGTGGGTGCCAAACAGAAAAAAAAAAAAAAAAAAAAAGATTCTTGTGATCAAAAGAAGCAAGTACAGTTGAAATGAAATGAATGCTAAGTAATGGAAACTAGGAAGAAGACAAAACTGCAAAAGGGGTTCCAACAAATCCTAAGTCAGAGAAATCTAATATTCAATTTCCTACACCAATTGAATCTTATGCTTACGACGAGAATTTGAAATCGAGAAATCGAAAGATGAAAACTTTAAAACGAAATCACAGCTTTTTTTTTTCAATATATTTTAAATTCGGGGTTAACCTAGGAGGTCGAATGATGAAGTTGACAAGCTGCTCCATTTCCAGAATCAAAATATAAAAGTATCACTCTTTTCTCATACTATCTCTTCTCTTCCCGAAAGCGAAATACTTGGATTAATCAAAAAACTTCGATTAAACAAAAACTGAAATTTCGCCAGTAAAATCAAATGAGGAAGAAGAAGAGATGGAGTTGTTTGTTTCAGAGAGAGATCGAAAGGTAAGAAGAAACAAAGGGAAAGAGCGAAGCTTTAGAACGGATTATTGTTGTTGAGTCTCGACTGTTTTGTTTCTTTTTCTCTCTTTTCCACCTTATGTTCATATTTTAATTAAATATTTAAAACTTGTAAATAACCAATGAATCGTCATAATACGAATATTAACATCAAATAATTCTTCTTTTTTTTTTTGCTTTTTCATTAACCTGGGTATTAAAATCAAATAATTATTTTTTGTTTGATTTTGAATATTAAAATCAAATAATTATTTATTAATAATTTATATATATGAAGACATATTATTGTTATTGGTTCTTTTGTTTATTTACTCAAAATCAAATAATTATTTCTTAATTATTGTTACAACAGTATGGGAAGAGTAGAAGATTTTATTCAAAACAGAGGTTTCATATAATTTAAACTTAGTTACCAAGTTCTAGCTATCAACAAACTACTCAGATATTTTTGATGGTCGTTGTAGATTTTATATGATCTAGTATCATTCAGTATAGGATCATATATCAAATCGAAAGTCTTACATCATGTTTGTAAATATTTATGATCTGAAATTTGAAAAACACTGTTATTAACCGTGTTAATCAAGTAACATCTTCACAAAGTTATTAACACACACCAAAAATTTGTTAAATAATATAAGATATTAATATAAAATCTTATATGAAACACACACAAACAATTAATTAATTTCAGTAATTTTTTATAATTTAAAAATGGTAACTAATATAATTTAGATAGAATATAAGTTAAGGATATGGATTTTGTTGTTTGTTTGCTTGCAAGTCTGCAAAAAACCTGTTCACTGACCATCTTTGCATTTTTTTTAGGTGGAAATAGAAAAAATATTTAAAATATTAACTAATCATATTTTAAAACCGAAAATTTTTTTTTGGTTGTCTCTGCAACGCTATAGGACAACATAATTCATGATGTAATGAATACAAAAACATAAGCGCTCAGTGTTCTAAAGCTGCTTCTTTTTGTTGCAGTAAGTTGAGACTTGAGAGAGCAATTTAACCGGAACAAAACAGTCCAGATAATACTAACCACAACAAATAACCATTTAATAACAGAACTTGCTTTCTGAGATCTCAAGTTTTTTATAACAAAAGGAATCCGAAGGATCACTCAAACACTCAAAATATTATTGCTATTGTTGAATAAAATCATTGCTTTTTTGATGATGCAGAGTTATACATTGATTAACAAACTGAAATATTTGATTCATCACCGGATGTGACTTAGTCAAACACACAAAATCCCAAACATATCCAAGTCTAATGGTAAACAAGAACATAAAACAACAATGGATAAATCTCTTGAACTTGCAGCAACACAAGAGAGACCTATCAATGCTGTCACAATCATTTTGAGAAATTGTTTGGCAAAAGAATAATTTAGCAAAAATACATCAAATTTATGCAAGAGGGGAAGAAGACGGAGATATGTTTCTTCACTAAATTACGGCTGCCAGAGATTCACCCAAAGCCTTGTGAAACTCAAGGATATAAACTAATGATCATATAGACTCACAGTTACATTGAAGGATACAACACACATAGCTATATAAGAGAGAGAGAAAGATAAGATAGAAGGTGAAAACATTTTTCACTACCAGCCATAGACAACCTATGTGGCTATGTGTACCTATGCTTAAACCATCTGAAGTTTTTCCTTAAAAAAGCATTTGACTTTGCCTTCAACACTAGACAGTAGACATATTGCAGTGAACGTCGATAAAACACGCATGCCCATAAAATAGCAAAGAAAATATCGGCCAATATTAAGCCAAAAAATTGGTTGGAGCATTGGGCCATCTAATCAAATTTAAGACTAATTAAATCTAGCCCAATATAGTTTTTTTTTAAACATGCCCATTAATATAATTGTGTGTTTTAACTTTTAAACTAGATTTTGACCCGCCCTTAAAGAGGGCGGGACAACCGTTTTTACTTTAAATTTATGCCCTTGTTCGATTATTCACAAGTATGTATAGGTGAGTATCCGGGTTCTGATAGATTGTCGTTAATAATTTTGGTTTGATCTGACATATATAGATTAAATACGATTACGTAAAATTTAATGTGTGGTATAGGATTGATTTT